CCTGCCCACCTCACCCACTCCCCAGTGCCGGCCATCACCCTGCCCACCTCACCCACTCCCCAGTGCCGGCCATCACCCTGTCCACCTCACCCACTTACGGAGTACACGTTGCTCCTGTGGCTCTCCTTTAATGGCAACTTGTACTGGACAATTGCCTTTAAGGTCTTCATCTTGTCCCCTGAAATCTGGAAGAAAGTTCGGTGAGGGCCTCATGGCCACCTGGTGGCGGGGAGATTCTGAAACTCCTAGGGTCCTAGCAGCGTCTCTGCTGTCTTTTTAATGCCCACACAGTGAAAGGGTGCTCTAACTGACCTGTTCTCCATGACTAGGTTCTTCATGCTGGCAATCCGTGACTCCCAGGGGTTAAAGACAGGCAGAGACGATAGCCTGCCTACCCTGGGGTAATTCCAAGCAAAACACCTCTCAGAATCATTCTACATAGTTATGAAGGAAGTTCTAACTCTCCCTGGGATGTCCTCTTGCCACACACAGAGACATTCTAGAGGTTGTTGTTATGTGCCGTTGAGTCGCTTGCGACTCATAGCGATCCTATGTACAACAGCCCTAAACTTTGCTCTGTCCTGTGCCAATCGCACTGTCTCTGACACTCCCATCCCTATTATCCCAGTTACTGAATCAATCCACCTCATAGAGGGTCTTCCCCTCCTGGGCTGTCCCTCCACCCTCCCAAGCATGATGTCCTTCTCCAAGGACCTGTTTCTCCTCACAACATGTGACACCCCAAAAACAGCAAACCAGCCAGCTGACACTCAGTCATCTCTGACATGTTTCCCCACGTGTACCAGAACACAGCTGTGCTCCCCAAGGTTTCGATGGCCAGTTTCTCGGAAGATCACCAGGCCTTTCTTACAAGGTACCTCTGGACACCAACCTTTTTACCTTACTGCTGAGCATGTGAACTGTTTTTATACTGAATGCTAGCATCCAAGACGTTCAGAATTTATATCTATTTCTGTGTTATAATATGCATTATAGCTTGTGGAAATTAGACTTTGCTCCCTGCTTTGTTCTAGTTAAGATCCTCTTGGTTTAGCCCCTCTGGGATCTCACGCCCTGAGTCAATGTTGCTGTTTGAAGAAATGGAAAAGAATCCCAGGGACAGATAAAAGAATCCCAGGGACAGATAAGATACTCTGCTTCAGAGTCAAAGGTGCGACAGATGGCTAACCCCTTTAGCCACAGAAAAGATTAACACTATAACAACTACTGTGAAGCTTGAATAAGGTCTCAGTAAGCAGAAACACCGTGTTTTTTTAAAAAATGAAATTATTGTTTCAGTAAGATATGAATTGTTTTTCCAGGAACAGAAGGGCCCTATAATTATGGATACAAGATAATGAAATAAAGATTGGATTGTTAACTATGTAACTGTGAGTGTGTGTGTGTCAGTGAATGTGACTGTAGAAATGCTATCTTGAAGAAGGATCTCGCTGTCTCCCAGGCCTGTCAATAAACCATGTGGTAAAAGCAATTCTGCCTACCCTCTAGTTCACAACTAAGGAAAAGACCTCTGTCCAGTAACTTGCACGCAGAGGTTCCTGGAGTTGGAGGCAGGTTAAAAAAAAAAGTCCCCCATAGAGGTGGCTATAAACAGGGCTGAAATCCCCTACGTAAAACAGAAATTTAGAAATAAAAAAAATGTTTTTATAAAATCCATGGTGAGAGGGAGGAACGGGGCCCACAAAGAAAGAAAGAAGAAAGATAAGCTCAAAATTTCACTGTGCGGGAAGCAGGCTCACCAGGAACTGTCATTAGAAAGAGAAGGAAAATTGCAACTCCACATTGCAACATGAAATTCCAAACAGAAAGGAGCGCACACAGCTGTGAAGGAGAAACACGAAGCAAAAAGGCAGGCAGGAGAAGAGAGGAGAGGACAGAAAAAGACAAAGCAGGAAGCGGGAGAATTAGAAAAGAGAATAGAGATGCCTCAGTAAGGGAAGCGGGACTGGAATTGAATATTACGTTACTATCAATTGGAAGTAAAACTTTTCCAGCCCCGAAGCATCTTCACCCCTTTTACCAATCTGACCATGAAGGACTTTTACTGAGCCCATGTACGGGGCCAGTCCCACCAACCCATATCACCTGTGTTATCTGCCTGGGACCATCACCTGACCAGAGCCCTGAAGTTCCCTGGGTGACTCTGGCAGGCAGTGCTGGGTAAGGGCTTACCATAAAAATTTTCTGCAACTGCTTATCATTTTCAACCAGTAAGATCTTCATCTTGGAGTCATTGATGAAATATTGACAGGCCTCCGGAGAGCTGGTGGCATAAATACCAACACAGAGGCCCCTGCAAGAAGAACACACACACACACACACACACACACAGAGAGAGAAAAGACAGAGACAGAAAGAGACAGAGATAGACAGAGAGACAGAAAAGACAGAGAGAGAGAGAGACAGGGAGAGAGAGAGAAAGAGAGACAGGGGGAGAGAGAGAAAGAGAGACAGGGAGAGAGAGAGAGACAGAGACAAACAGAGAGAGAGAGACATACACACACACGTACAACTTAAGGTGAGCATAACCTGGATTTGGGTAGGGGACTTAACAAGTTATGAGTTTACATCCTTGGTGTAAATTTACCTCCCTCAACTACTTAACAACAACATAATTATATTTATTTAGGAGAATAGCAGCATCTATAATGGTATTATGATATCAAGTAATGGAACCTGCCTCAAACCAAAACCAAATTTACTGCATTTGAATCCGTTCTGAAATCCAGTGACCATGCAAGACAGCAAAAGTGCCACACCAAGCATTTCCAGGGTTGTAATCTATGTCTCGGAGAAGGTGCAGCCAGAGTGCTCCTTGGAGGCAAAGATCACAAAGCTTGGTCTCACATATATTTGGTCATGTTGCTAGGAGAGGCTGTTCCCTGGAGAGGGACATCATGCCTGGAAAAGTGGAGGGTCAGCGAAAGAAAGGAAGACCCTCAAACAGGTGGAGTGACACGGTGACAGCAGCAATGGGCTTGAGAGAGTCAGTAAGTGTGAGGATGGCACAGGCCAGGCCAGGGGGCAGACTGTACTCGACGGCACCTAACAGCAACGATCAATGGCAGCAGACTGCCCACTTTTCTCCCTTAGAGTGACTGGTGGGTTCAAACCTCCAGCTAACTTTATCGGGAACAGCTGGGTACTGGACCTCCCGGGCTCCTTTGCACATCCATTTCCTGTGCAGACCATGCGTGTTATATGAGTATGGAAGCATTAGAAGTAAAACCTACATTAATAAATGTTCATTTTTCTTTCTAATCATTGCCCTCAGTTCCTTGTGAGGGTCGTTGATTGTGTTGAACAGATCAAGCTCACCTACTGAACCACTGTGTGTTCTGGGGGAAGCTCCTTAACACTTCTAGACCGCACAACCCTTCACCACATTATTACTGGGGAGAGGAGCAGTAATAGGGCCCCTGTAAGGATTCAGTGGACCAAAGACATTCCTCTAGGTCGTAGAGCCCTGGTGTACAAGTTGCCACACAGCGGTCACTTTTGGTTGCTGTGAGGCTGAACACTGTGACACTGATGTGTCAAATGCATTAACCATTGGCTACCCAATGCGGACAGAGAGTGGGGTGGAGCTCCCCGATGAAAACAAACTTGGAAGGAGGCGTGGCATCCACTTCTATAATAGCTTGCCTCTGGAAACCCTATGAACCTGGGGAGAGGATTAAAGGCACCCAGGCGTCGAGGACTCTCCTTCATGGGGTCCCTATGAGTCACTTGCGACTCGACGGCACTTAACAACAACAACAACACACATAAAAGGCCAGCTGGGCATTATTGGTATAGCATAGTTTCCATTTTCACTGTAAGGACAGTAGAAAAGCTGTTTTAAAATCTTTTTTTCAATTTTATTATTTTATGTGTACCATCAAATCGGATCTGACTGGTACAGGGGAGTTTGTCCCTCCTTCTCAGCAGAGCATCTGGTGGATTCGAACCCTGCACTTCTGGGGTTGTAGTGGTGTGTCTTGTCAGTAGGCCACCAGAGCTCCCTATAGAGAGGCATTTTGTATGTGCCAGTTCCCCTTGTGTGTTGGGCTGTTAACCAGAAGGTCAGAGTTTCAAATCCACTAGATGCTCCATGGGAGAAAGACAGGACACTTTGCTCCTGTAAAGAGTTACGGCCTCAGAACTATTCTGGGAGAGTCTGCCCTCTCCTACAGGATTGCGCTGAATCAGGGGCCAGGGGCCAGTGGGTTGGGTTTCTCATTTGTCTTCTAAACACTTGGGCAGACGACCTCACCTACGGTGTAGCTCTGGCATGGTCAGTCAGAATTAACCTAGGTACTTTGACTTACCTGGTAAACCAGCCCTGTAGGTGAACGAACATGTTCCCTGCCTGTGGAGAGCTTCCCATCAGGCACACCAGCCACCCCCCACCCCAGCTACGATCAGAGAGGTTCTTTCCATTTATCTTTTAATTATCTATTTGTGGGGGATTCCCTGATAGCTTAGCGGTAAGGAGTTGTGCTGACAACCCAAACACACACAGTTTGAACCCACCAGCTGCTCCAGGGAAAAAGATGGGCAGTCTCCTCCTGCGTATTTCACGGCCTCTGCATACCCTCTGGAGGGGTAGCTATGAACTGGCTCCTACTCAATCGTATAGAGCAACAATTTTTTAATCTTTTTTTAGACCACGGTTCAAGTTCTGTCTGTCTCTGCTGCCCGCAGGTTGCACGGGTCTCAGTTTTTCCATCTGTAAACCGGGAATGACACCATTCAGTTCACATTACTGGTGTGCGGATCACATATGCCAATCACAGTGACGAGTACAAAATCAGAAATTTCTAGATGCGGTCTGTGGTTATTTTATCTGCAAAATTCCCTGCCGCTGAGGACCAAAGCAGTCTCAAGCCTCAGCTCTGAAGGGTATTATTACGTAGGACCCACGGGCAGAATGCCTTGTTTGTGTGTCTATCTTGCCTGCCAACGTGGGACTCTGTCAGAAACTCCTTTCCACGTCTCAGTCTGAACCAGCCCAGGGCTGCCAGGCCCAGAGCCGGGGCTTGCCGACACTCACCATGGACCAAGCCGGAGGTCTTACCCTGCTAAGATGGTGCCAAGCGCAGCGATGAACCACTCCACCGAGTTAAACCCCAGGATACCAACTGCGTCGAAACGCTCCAAGCCCAACTGGGAAGACACACACAAACAAACAAAATACGAGTCAGCATGGAGGGTCTTGGCTTCCAGCCAAATGCCAAAGGTGCTCTAGAAAGGCTAACCAAAAGGCTGGCTGTTCAAATCCATCGATTGCACGTCAGGAGGAAGATGGGCGTTTCTGCTCTGATAAAGATCACAGCCTTGGCAACACCACCGTGCAGTCCTGTGGGGTCCACATGCCCCTCTCCATCCTATAGGGTCAACTCGGGCTTGGGACTGACTCAGTAGCAGTGGGTCTGGGTGAGCTGCGCTTTGATGACGGACCTGTTGGAAGCCAGGCTCACGTACATTCTGTCACTGGGGAGGGAGCCCACTAACTGTTTTATGAATCACAGAAGGTTCTTTATCACCCATCCCTGCTGTTTCTGAAGCATTTCCAACTCATGGACATCCCTGGGTGTCATTGTATAACTGAGCTCCAGAAAGTCTCCAATGGTCCTTTTTTTTTCCTTCTTTCTTTTTTCAGTAGATCACCAGGCCTTTCTGGTGAGGTGCCTCTGGATGGACTTGAACCATCCACCTTTCATTTGCTAGCTGAGTGTTTAACCATGGGCATCCCCCAGGGACTCCTGATGAGCCCACCCAAGGCAGGATGTCTTGGGGACCCTCTTAGGATCCTCTCTATCCTTGTTGCTGTTGATTGCCATCGAGTTGAGCATGACTCATAGCGACCCTATGAACAAAAGGCCCAAAGCCTCTCTACAACTATCAACATTTATCTAAGTTCATAGAGTTTCTGGAGGCAAGTTTTTTATGAAGTGGATGCCACTTCTATCCTGGTGATAGAATGAATGAATGAATCAATCTATCAACATTATTTTTTATAATGTGATGTTGGTAAAATACAGGCCAACAGGTGCTCTCCCCGCTGGTGAGTAGGAAGACAGGGCGAAGATCCTGGCAGGAACTCACGCTACCTGGGGCAGTCACTCTCACGCAGCTGTGACAGCAAAAGGGTCAAATCAAGCCCAGTGCAGATTAGCAGAGGAGGTACGGCCATTCTGTTACGTACGTCACTGCAGACATTGTAAAGAATGCAGACTTTAATACAATGGACCAGTACGGCTCTGGTGGCCCAGTGGTTAAGAAGCTACTCTGCAACCCCAAAGGCATGTGGTTCAAATCCACCAGCTTCTCCTCAGAAGGATGGCCAGTCTCTGCCTGTGAGAGTCACTGCCTCTGAAAACCCACTGGAGGGTCAGCTATGGGTCAGTTCCAACTCAACGGCACACGACAACCAGCGTGGAAAGATTTCCGAGTCCTGTAAAGAAAGCCTCCAAGTGGGGACAGACTGAATCTCGCTTCCTGGTATCTATGTTATCATATAGTCTCTCATGTCACGTCAGATTTGGTTTGAATAATTGACTGACCATATAACCCTCTCTCAAGTCACATTTGAATAATTGACTGACCATGGAAGGAGGGGTAATCAATTCACAATCTGCACTTCCCATCCCAGGTGTTCTCTGTCTTTGGCTTCACTCATTCTGGGGGAAGTTGGCCGCCACGTTGTGAGGACACTGAAGCAGTCCTGTGGAGGCGGCCATGGAATGAGGCTTCCTGTCAACAGCCAGCCACGGGGTCAGAAGCTCTGGCCACAGGGCAGCCTCCACAGGACACAACCCTGACCAACAGAGTGACCGTAACATCAGGAGACACCCTGAGTCATAGCCCCTCCCCCAGGCTCCTGGACGTGGAACCCGCAGAAACTGCACGGTGAGAAATGTGTCGTTGAAAACCACTCCGAGGGAGCTGTGGTGGCCTAGTGGCAAGAAGCTGCACTGCAATCCCAGAGGTATGTGGTTCGAATCCACCAGATGCTCTACTGGAGGAGAGGCAATCTCCTCCTGTACCAGTCAGATCCGATTTGACAGTACATGTATGAAATGAAATAAAATGAAGACTTTAAAAAAAAAGAATTTTTTTTTAAGAAAAAGAAAACCACTCTGTGTGTTTGCTATGGGGGGGGGGAGCCGAGCGATAAGGAGTTGCACTGCCAACCCAAAAGCAGGTGGTTTGAGTCCACCAGGGTCTATGCAGAAAGATGGGCAGTCTCCTCCCATGTGATGTACAGCCCCTAAAACTTACTGCAGAGTCAGCTGTGAGTCAGTTCTGACTCAATCACAAATAACAACAACAACAGTTAGTGAATGCGCAGAAATACATGCCACGTGAGGGGGGGGGGACCAAGCTACAGAATGCTGGGAACAGTGTGGGGTGTGACAATGCCTGCAGCGACAGGCTCGAGGGTGTCAGAGATGGTGAGATCACACAGGACCAGGGCTCATGTCTGTGGTTCACAGTCACTAGGAGTCATGCTCGACTCGATGGCACCTAACAACAACAGCATGTGCAAATATTTCCATAGGTAACAATGGAAAAAAAAAAGTAAAACCTAATATCCAAACCCATTACCTTTTAGGCAGCATCAGCTGTCGCAGACAACATGTGTTAGGGAGCCCAAGTGCTGCTGGAGTGCTCTTGGCCACCATCTTTATAAAAGCTGGTCACCTGACCTTTCTACCATAGTGCCACTGGCTGGCTTCAAACCACCAACCTTCCACTTAGCAGCTGTCCTGGCTTGAATGGTGTCCCTCCCCACTAAAATTACACATCAGCTCTCTGGGCCTTGATCCTTCACGGTTTGGCGGTTATGCAAAGAGGGAGTTTGATGATTGTGGAAGAACGTGTTTACCTCTCGTCATTGAGAATACCATGGACTGCTGGGAAAACAAACAGATTTGTCCTGGAAAGGGTTAAACCGGGTGGCTCCTTGGAGGCGAGGATTCTGAGGCTCCGTCTAACTTACTTTGGACATGTTGTGAGGAGAGACCGGTCCTTAGAGAGGGACATCATGCTTGGGAGGGTGGAGGGACAGCGCAGGAGAGGAAGGCCCTCTATGAGGTGGATTGATTCAGTGACTGGGATAATTGGGATGGGAGTGTCAGAGACAGTGCGATTGGCACAGGACAGAGCGGAGTTTAGGGCTGTTGTACACAGGGTCGCTATGAGGTGCAGGCGACTCGACGGCACATAACAACAACAACAACATGTGATCAGTCCTAAAGGGTCTTCCCCTTTGCGGTAGCCTGAATCACCTTTTCTCTGACACCATATAAGAAGAGAGTGAAGTACACAGAGCAAGAGACTCAACAACCCTCCAGGCAAGAAGGGCTGGGAGTGGAGTGTGTGTATTTGGTTGGGATCCAGGGTCCTTGTGTGGGAAAACTCCTAGACCCAAGGGACAACTGGTGACCAGAACCTTCTCCCAGAGTGAAGAGAAACAGAAAGCCTTCCCCAAGAGCCAGCGACCTCAATTCTGACTTCTAGCCGCCTAAACTGTGAGAGAATCCATTTCTCTGTGTTAAAGCCCCCCTCTTTGTGTATCTCTGACACAGCAGCACCAGTAACCCTCCACTGGGAACACTGTAACATATGTATCCTTTATGCCCAGGAGACACATGAAAACCAGCAATGGAGGCTGCCTTTCTGGAGGGAAACTGGGTCATAAGAAGCAAGAAATAGAAGGAAGTTTTCCACAGGCATCAGCAGGCAAGACTGATTCAGAAGCACTAAGGCTCCTGGGTGGGGGCCACAGGCATGCACTTGAGCTTGAGCTTAGAGGTTGACATTTGGACCTAGCCAGCTGTGCCATGGAATTGAGCCCTGGCAACCCGCTTCTGCTACACATTACCACCACGCCAACCGTGTCAGGCAGGGGCACTCCTACCCAAAGGCACTGGGGCTCACCAGGTGAAAGCAGTGGGTCTGGTTTCATTGCTCCTAGTGTTCCATCCATGTTCCCTGCTCTGAATGAATGAATGAATGAATGAATGAGCAAACAGTGACTGAAGGAGGGGCTTGTGTACCTTGAGCAGGGCCCGTGCAGCTTTCCGACAAGCCTCGTAGTACTGGTTGTAATTCATACTTTCCCACTGGTTGTTTTTCATCGAAGACACAGCTGGATAGATCCCGAAGCGGCTGACAGATTCATGGAAGAATTCTGGAATGGTCATCGGGGGCTCGTGGCCCGGTCCATGCTTTGTTAGCCTCAGAAGGACTTCTCCATACCGGTGTGTGGTCCACAGCTTGAGGGTATCTGTAACAGTCCCCGAATGGCCCAAGGGCAGAGATGGCAGGTGTTCTGACACATTTACTAACTTCCAGAGGAGAGGGGTCTTTTGGATCTCTGAATCCTGAATCAATTATAGACCTACAAAACTCGTAACCCCTTGCCAGGGAACTGCCCGGGATTCCTGGCAACCACATCCGTTACAGAGGACAGCATCACAGATCTGGCCTGACTGTGAGGCTCCACAGTGCTGGCCTAGTTGTGATTCTTACAGCAAACCAACCAACCTGTCTTGGAATAAGTGCAGTCTGAAACACGCTCTTTAGAACCCCAGGTGGTGAGGCTGTCTCATGTACTTTGGACATGTTACCAAGAGGGACAGGTCCCTGGAGAAGGACGTCATGCTTGGGAGAGGGTCAGGGGATAAGAGGAAGGTCCATGAACAGGATGGGCAGACAGAGAAGCTGCAACAGTGGCCAGGGCGGGGCAGAAACAGTGTTGCATTTGGTTACACTCAGAGCTGCTGTGGGTCAGAATTGATACAATCGTCTTTACAGAAAAAGATCCCCAGATCTTCCTTTGCAGGACTGCTGGGGTTGGGGGTTAAATTGCTGACCTTTAAGATGATAATAGTCAGAAAACCCTTGACACCTTTCAGGACCTGTGACCTAATCATGCTGCTTGAATAACAGCCCAGAGTCAAGTCTGGTCCCTTAAAGCTCCCAGTCTCTTTTCTCATTATACTTCTCCATAAATGATTATGGAAATTGCCCAGCGTACAAGAACACTAAATGGCTGTCCCATGAACACCTATCCGCTGTAGCTTGTACCACCCTGTAGAGGCTGGGGCGCTGCCACTTCTCCATCCCACATCCGTCTGCCTGTCCATCCATCCATCTGTCCTCCCTGAGTTGCACACACAAGTGGTCCTCAGCTGCTGACCAAAGCCATCAGCTGTTCCTTGGGAGAAAGATGCGTTACAGCCTTGGACACCTGCTGGAGGGTCGGTTATGAGTCAGGACCAACTCGTCGGCAGGAAATTACGTTTGGTATCAATGTCAAATCCCTGGGGGGTTGGAGGATGGTAACCTAACAGTCAGTGGTTAGAATCCACCAGGTTCTCTGAGAAAGATGGGCAGTCTTCTCCCAAAAAGATTTATAGCCTCAGAAACACTATGGAGGGTCCACTTTGAGTTGAAATCGCGTCAAAGGCAGTGGTTTGGCTTGGATTATTATCAATTCCCAGGGAAGCAGCAGTCAAGAATTAAAATGACAGTTGACATTAGGCAAATCTGCTGCCAAGAACCTTTTTTTCTTAAAATAAAATTTTTATTTTATGGTGGCGTGGCATCCACATCCTAAACAACATGCCTCTGGAAACTCTATGAACTTTGAGAAATGACAATAGTTATAGAAAGGCCTCAAGTCTTTTGTTCATAAGGTTGATAGGAGTCATGCTCAACTCGACGGCAATTAACAACAACGACTTACAAAGTCTGTATACATTGTTTTTCACACCGGCTCTTTCTCATTTCCTTTACCCACCCCTCGCTCTACCCATCAACCTGTGCCACCTATGACCACCACCCCCCGCCCTTCCTCACTCTTCTGCTCCTACCTTCCCCCACGCCTTGGATCCTAATACACATTTTACTAGTTCTCTATTTCTACAATAATGATCTTATTCAGTATTTGTCCCGATGGGACTGAGTTAGTTCACTTAGCATAATGCTCTCCAGGCCAAGGACCTTTTTGAAGTGCTAAAGAGCAACGATGTCACTTTGAAGAGTAAGGTATTCCTGTCTATGGCTGAGGTCTTTTCAATGGTGTTTCATGTGTATGAAAGTTAAGGAATCAGAGAATTGATGCCTTCATATTATGACACTGACAAGGCATGTGGACTATCCTACAGACTGCAGGCTGTTCCTTGGAGAGATACACCAAGCTTGGAAAGACGGAGGGGTGGGGAACGAGAGGAAGGCCCTCCATCAGGAGGATTGGCACAGCGACTACAGCAATGGCCTTGAGTGTGTCAGAGATTGGGAGGTTGGCACCAGATAGGACAGGGTTCAGGTCTGTTCATAGGGTTGCTATAATCATATACACAACTCGATGGCACCTAACAACAACACAGACTGCAGAGGGAGTTCTGGTGGCATAGTCCCCAGGGGACAGTGTTGCTAACACAAAGGAGGTTGATGCCTCTGCCGGTTCAAATCCACCAGCACCTCCAAAGAAGGAAGACGGGCAGTCTCCTCACATGTGATTGACAGCCTCTGAGAACCCACTGGGTGTCAGCTATGAGTTGGTTCTGTCTGGACAATGATCACTTCAAGTTTCTGACTATGAACTTCAGAAGAATGAATACATCTGTCCTGGAACAAGTACAGCCAGAATACTTCTCGGAAGCAAGAATGGTGAGACTCTGTCTCCTGTGCTTGGGGCATGTTGTCTGGGGGAATCAAGGCTTGTAAAGTAGAAGGTCGCAAAGCAACTATGAGATATCATCTCACCCCAGTCAGAATAGCAAAATGTAACAGAACAGCAAGCAACAAATGCTGGCGAGGTTGTGGAGAGACTGGAACCCTTATTCACTGTTGGTGGGAGTTTAAAATGGGGCAACCACTGTGGAAGGCGGTGTGGCGCTTTCTCAAAAAGTTGCAAATAGAGATACCATTTGACCCAGCAATTCCACTACTGCAAATATACCCCAAAGAGACCATAACTGACATCCAAGCAGATATGTGCACACCCAGGTTTATCAAGGCTTTGTTCACAATAGCAAGGAGTTGGAAACAACCTAAGTGCCCATCAACAAACGAATGGATAGAGAAGCTGTGGTATATTCACACAATGGAATACTATGCTGCATTGAAAAACAAGGAACTCATGCAATATTATTCAAAATGGGTGACCCTGGAGGACATTATGCTGAGTGAAGTATCTCAGTCACAAAAGGACAAATACTGCATGGTGCCACTGTTGAAAAACAGGACTGACATGGGGTTGGGAGGAGACTGAGAAAGATGGATTCAATAATGAATACTGCATTGAAACAGATGAGGGAGAAAACTGTTTAAAAGGGATATGTGATTGGGTATTATTGTCATGACAGGAGTCCAGAACGAAAGCTGCATAGTGGAGTGGACCTGGGGGAGGGATTGTAAAACAATGAAAGAATTTTTCTTTTACTTTTCAAAGAGAAGAGTGTACTGGAAGGGAGGGGTGGACAGGGAGAAAAGTGCAACAATGAATGAATGGAAATCCAAAGTCTCTGTGAATTTTCACTAAAATTAATAATAGTTTTTTTTAAAAGTAGAGGGTCAGTGGCCCTCAATCACTGACCCTCCACCAGAGGAAGGCCCTCCATCAGATGGATGGACACAGTGGCAGCAGCGGTGGGCACAGACTTGGCCATGACTGTGAGAGTGGTGCAGGACCGGACCGGGTGTTGTTCTCTTGTGAATGCGGCTGCTAGGAATTGGAACCAACTCAGTGACACCTAAGAACAGAAACACTGTCAAGAAGTTCTGTAGTGCAATTGTTAAGCGTTTGCAAATCAAAAGATCAGCAGTTTAAACCCACCGGTTGCTCCATAGGACAAAGGCCTGGACATCTGCTCATATAAAAACTGTCCCCGTGGGGTTGTTCTGCTTGATCAAATAGGGTCACCATAGTCCAGTTGACTCAATAGCAAAAACTTTGGTTTCATAAGCACTGTCCACGTCTCACCCGGGCTCAGAAGGGCACTCATGAGAGACAGTTCATTGGGGGGGGGGGTGCCTGTAGTAAGGGGGTTCGAACATGGTTCTGACAAGGGACCCCCGTCAGCACGCACACCTATCAGCAGCTTCTCCAGCACAACATACCTTGTGCTTTATACATGTCTACTTGTAGGTCTTCAGACTTCTCTTTTCAAGTGCTTGGAGTCTTAGCCCTTCCAGATGCCCAGAGCACATTCTTCACAGCACTGCAAGGCAAAAAAAAGCAGGCAGCTTAGTAGGGCTGGCAGACCGGCTGGGTCAGATCCAAAGCCAGCGCCATCCGCTGGTAATGTCTGTCCGGAATCAGTTCTGAGATGGATTGATCCTGTCTGTCCTGGAAGGAAGGGGCAAGGACTAAGGCTTGTTTGCCAAGACTTCCGAAAAGAAGTGAAAGCATGTCACTGGTCAGATTACACTTGACCAGGCTTGCGTCCCAAAGAAAGGAGTCCTGGTGGTGTTATTGCTAAACCCTCAGCTGTTAACCAGAAGTTCGAGGGTTTGGGGCTCACCAACTGCTCAGCAGGAGGAAAGACCTAAAAATGGCCTCCTTAAAGCTCACAGCTGGTCCGGTTGTACTCTGCTGTGTAGAGTCAGAATTATTTTGAAAAGTGGAAAGTCAGTGAAAGAGAGAAAGACTTTCAACACGACAGATCAATACAGTGCAACAGTGGGCTTAAGCAGGGGCAGAAATGGTGAGGATGGCACAGGGCAGGGCAGGGTTTTAATCTCTTGTCTGGAGGGTTGCTCTGAGTCGTAGTCAATTCCTGAGTCAGAAGACAGAGGCATGCCTGGAAGAGTGGAGGTTCAGAGAAGAGGGAGAGACCTGTGGGGGTGGCTGGAAGGCAGTGCAGAGCCTCTCAGGGCTTCATCCTGCTGGTTGTGAGACTACTATGAATCAGAGCTGATCCCAAACATTGATAAATTCCTAAAATACTAGTAATACCTTCTTTTTCTTTCTCTTATAAGGTGAGTGGTTGTTCAACAAGCATTTGCTGGTGCTCTTTACGTTACAAGGATGTTCTGCATGTGTTACTTTGCGTGCATGATGTGTTTAATAATTTAAAAAAAAATCACAGCCATGGAGAGGTTATCGTAAGATGGGGTTTATGCAAACAGTTGTTGTTGTCGCCAGTTTTCGTGCAGTCAGTTCCAATGGTCACCCCATGCATTACAGCATAGAACTTGCTCCATGGTGTTTTCTTGGTTTAATCTTATGGGAGGATTAAGAGGCTCTTATGGGATACAGATCAATCACCAGGCCTTTCTACTGTGTAACTTTTGGGTGGGCCCAACATACCAACCTTTACATCCCCAAGACCATTGTACACCTGAGGACATGTGTAACGGCTTAACATTAACCATCTATCAAAGGGAGAGACTGCATTTATAAAATAGAAGGTAAACACCTGTGTGATCCAAAATGAAAAAAAGTTTGATGAAAGATCCACGTCTGATGAAAAGCCTTTAGCAAATAAGAGATGGAAGACAAATCTTCAGGTTGAGAAAAGATGTCTTCCAGAAAATATACAACAAATATTATATTTAGGAATTGCAAAAGAGCCATTTGTAATAATGGAAACATTTTTTAAAAAGGAAGCATTTCTGTTAAGTGAAGAACAAGGTAACATTTGCTTTTATAACTATTATTTATCATTGGTCTAGAAGTTCCTAGATAACGCACTAATAAAGATAAATGAAAGGGATAAAATTAGGAACAGACAAAATTGTCACTTTTCAAATAGTATCATTGAGTACCTAGACTAGGCAGTTTGTTGTGTTTGCAGAGAACATTGTTCTAATTGGTACAGCAATTGCCTGTCCATTTGCTGTACTGAGATAATTTGTGGGTTGCTGTGATACTGAAAGCTTTGTCACTGGTGTGTCAAATGCCACAAGAGTTACCCACAGTGCACAGGTTTTAGAAGAGATCCTAGGTTAAGACAGACTAGGAAGCAAGACTGGCAGGGGAGCTCTGGTGGCCTAGTGGAAAGGAGCTGCAACTACAATCCCAGAGGCACACAGTTCGCATCCACCAGATGCTCTGCCGGGGGAAGGAGGAACACTCTCCTCCTGTACCAGTCAGATCTGATTTGACGGTACACTCACACAAAAATAATAAAATAAAAAAAAAAGACTGGCTATCCACTTCTTAAATAACAGACCTCTGAAAATGCTATGGCAGTAGAGGAACACAGATAGTTATAGTAATGTAGTGACAGAGCTCAGGATGGAAGTCAGTTAAAATGAAAAATAATGACAAGCATCATTTAGTAATTGGAACATGAAATGTGCATAGCTTGAAAGATGGAAAACTAGGAATTGTAAAAAATGAAATGGAACACATGGACCTTGACATACGAGACATCAGTGAGATGGGATGGACTAGCTTTTCCAAGAAAGGTGATCCAACAGAATGTGGACGATCGAATAATATCACTAACATCACATGCAAGCAAATTACTGCCGAAGATCATTCAAAGACGGCTAGAACAGTACATAGATAAGGAACTGCCAGAAGTTCAAGGAGGATTTAGAAGAGGCTGTGGCACCAGGGACAGCATTGCTAATGTCAGATGGATGCTGGCTGAAAATAAAGAATATCAGAAGAATGTTTATTTATGCTTTATTGACTATGCAAAGGCATTACTGTATGGGTCATAACAAGTTATGGCTAACATTGAGAAGAATGAGAATCCTAGGGCAATTAATTGTGCTTGTGCTAAACCTGTACCTAGACCAGGAGGCTGTTGTGCAAACAGAGCAAGGGAACAGTTTTTGTTGTTGTTATGTGCTATCAAGACTCTTGCGACTCATAGTGACCCTATGTATAATAGTCCTGAAATCTGCTCTATTCTGTTCCAACCTTACTGACTCTGACACACTGATCCCCATTATCCCAGTCACTGAATTAATCCATTTCATCAAGGGTCTTCCTCTCTTGTGCTCTCCCTCCACCCTTTCAAGCATGATGTCCCTCTCCAAGGACTGGTCCCTCCTTACAACAAACCCAAAGGATGTCAGATGAAGCCTCAGAATCCTTGCCTTCAAGGAGCAGCCTGGTTTTACCCTCTCTAGGACAAAACTGTTCTCTTAGCAGGCCATGGTATATAATACCCTTCTCCAGCACCACAGCTCAAAGGCATCAATTCTCTTTCTATCATCCCTATCCACTGTTCAACATTCTGATGCATAGCAAATAATTGTGAAGACTATGGCCTGGATCAGGCACACTACATGGTTTAAAACTTAGAAGGGAGTGCTTCAGGGCTGTATTATCTCTCCATACCTATTCAATCTGTGTGCTGAGCAAATTATTTGAGAAGCTGAGCTCTATGAAGAGGAATGTAGCATCAGGATCGGAGGGCGACTCATCAGTAGCCTACATTATGCAGATGACACACCTCATTTGCTGAAAGTGAGGAGGACTTAAAACACTTGTTTCAGAAGATCAAAGAATTCAGTCTTCAATATGATTGCATCTCAATATTAAGAAAACAGATTCTTACCATCATGATGGATAGAGAAAAGACTGAAACTGTCACCAACTTCATCTTATTTGGATCCACAATTACCAACTTTGGTATCACCAGTCAAGAAATCAGGAGGTGTATTTCACTGGAAAAGTCTGCAGTTAGGGACCTCTCCAAATTACTGAGAAGTAATGATGTCAGTTTGAGGACTAAGGCACATCTGATTCAGGCCATGGTCTTTCTGATCACTTGCTATGCATCTGGGAGCTGGACAATGAATAAGGACGACAGAAGAAGAACTGAGGCCTTTGAGTTGTGGTGTTGGAGAAGAGCACTGAACATCTCATGGTCGGCAAAAAAACCACAAATAAGTATGCAGTCAGAATGCTCTTTGGAGGCAAGGATGATGAGGCTTGGATTCACATACTTCAGGCATGTTGCTAGAAGGGGCTATTCCTTGGAGAGGGACATGATACTCCAAAAGATAGACGGTCAGCAAAGGAGTGGAAGACCTTTAACCAGGTGGGTTGACACAGTGACTGCCAAAATGGTTTCTAAGGCATCAGGAGGAGTGAAGATGGCACAGTGTAGGACAGGGTTCAGATCTGTTGTTCATACGATCACTGTGTGTTGTACTCAGCTTGATGCTGGACCTCACAACCACCACCTAGACTATCCTATCAAATGAAAAACTATTATAAATAAAAACAATTCAGTCAGGTGATAGATAAAAGATTGCTATTTAATAGTTGACCATTTTTATTGTTATTGTTGATTGCCTTTGAGTTGAGCACGACTCATAGCGACCCTATGAACAAAAGCCCTGAAGCTTTTCTATAATTATTGACATTTATCAAAGTTCACAGAGTTTCTAGAGGCATATTGTTTAGGAAGTGGATGCCACTCATGTCTGATGCACTCCACAACGTAGATGAACCTTGAAAGCATGTGGAGTGAAATTTAGGAATATTGTATGATCACTCTTCTAGGAGATAAGTAAATATGTAGAAAACAGAGATTAGTGGTTACCAGGAGTAGGAAGGAGCTGTGGCTGTGCTATCTGAAAGGCCAGAAGTTCAAATCTACCCAGCAGCTCAGCTGAAGAAAGATTCCAGTATTTGGCCCTCAGTCACCCTTCAAACTTGAAACAGAACTCACGCTCATGGCTCAACTTCCAGTGAAACAATAGACTACCTTTTAAGGGTTAGAGGGGGACACTCATTTCTAAGAAGAACCAACCAAATAAGGTCAAAAGAAAAGCATCTCCCCAAGGATAAAGCCCAGCAGGCAAAAAAAGGGCAAGACAGAAGGATTAGTGGAAATGAGAATCACAGGGAGGAAGTGGGGGAAATGTTATTACATTATGTTGTTGTTATTGTTGTTATTATTGAGTCAGAACTGACCCATGGCTGACTTTCCATTGAGTTTTCAGAGGCAGTCAATCGCACGGAAGGAGATTACCCAGCCTTCTTACACAGAGCGGCTGGTGGCCTCGAACTGTGTACCTTTGGGATTACAGCACAGCTTCTTGCCACTAGGCCACCAGAGCTCCAATTGCTTTGTGAGTATTGTAATTTGTTTTGAAACAAAGTGCACATTCATAATTTGCAGAGAAAAGAAATTTGCTTTGTAAACTTACATCACAATTTAAAAACAAAACAATATTAGTCTAGAAAATCCCATGGGGCAT